CTCGTCTCTCGCCCCCGCCTCGTCAGTGACTTCGCCTTTCCGACTAACCCTCCGGGGAGGCACGGAGAGCGAGAGAGAGAGAGAGAGAGAGAGAGAGAGAGAGAGAGAGAGAGAAAAACAAAAAAAAAAAAAAAAAAAAAAAAGAGAGAGAGAAAGAGAGAGAGAGAGAGAGAGAGAGAGAGAGAGAGAGAGAGAGAGAGAGCAGGAGAAGGAAGGAGATGAGCCCCCCCCCGTCAGGGGGTCCCTTAGGGCTTCAGAGCACCGCGCTCGAATGTCCACATCTCCGCTGGAAGCTCAGCCACTAGCTTGCCTAGATCCGCGCCCTCGATATTCCCCAGACCCCTCGCTCGAGCTGCGCCGACTCAAAGCGCTTCGGCAGGCAGGCGAGGTGATCCCTAGCCACGGCGAGCTGAAAAAAAAGGATCCCCCCATCTGACGCATTGGCTTCAACCCATCTCTCTTCCATGGGGAACGAGGCGGGAGGGGGAGAGGCTCCGCGCGCGCCCATGGCGAGAGCGACGAGGAACGAGGCACGCCCCTGGCCCGCAAAAGCTTGCACGGACCATCCTAGCGTAGATTCGAGGTCCGAGGATTCCAGAAAACGCCGGTGGCTCGAGCCCCAGACTCCAAGAGCCGGCTCTATCTCTGAGAGCCCCGCGAGAAGTTCGAGACGTCTGCGCCAGACGCCCATGTCCCGAAGGAAGACGGCATCCCCGGATATCCCCCCACCGAAGGCCCGTCGCCGAGATTTTGGATTAGCCCAGGCCCATCTATCGCCCGACGGCTAGATCTTCGGGCTTCGCTGGCACCTGGGTAACTCCCGACCCGTTCAACGGAGTACCTCCCTGGCTCACCCGCTACATCACCCTGGCCACGGCGGAGGCCAGGCGTTCCATGTCGCTGTCGGTTAGGGCCGGGCGAATGATCATCATCTTGCTCATGGTCTGGAAATTGCGCTCGTTCATCCAGCGCTGCTGATGGGCGGCAGGGGTCGTGTCTGAGAGAGCCTGCATCGCCTCGAGCTGGTTCGAAGGTCTCGCGCCAGGTGGAGGCCTCGCTAGGATCGCTGTCGCCGGCGGGGGGGCGCAGGAGATGCGGCCGCCCGGTTCGACCGCGGGCGCCGCCTTGATGGGAACGTAGCCGCCCTTCGGGCACGCGCGCAAGTTGGCCAGCGCCTGGGCCGACTGCTCTGAGATAGGATCCGGCCCGTGCTTTGGGGGCGGAGACTGCATCTTCGGATGTGGCGCCCACGGATCTCCCTGCTTGAGGCCCCTCTCGCACTGCTTGACCTGCTGCTCCACCATCTGACTGACCTCCTTGCGCATCTGCGCCGACTTGGCCTTCGCCATCCAGCGAATGGCCGCTTCGGCCTTCTCCTCCTCGGTCTTCTTGTGGTAGGCAATCCTGCCGTTTCAGCGCCGGCGGAACGCGCGGGTCACGCGCCCGTCGGCCCCCGACCATTGCGCCCAAGGAGGACGAGGGCAGTCGTCCGCATTCCCCCCCCCGCGCTGCATGACATGCGGAACCACCCCCGCGACGCCCCCGACGGTCGCGGCCGCCATGGTTGCGCCGAGAAGTTTCAGCGCCACTGACCTTCACCTGGCCTTTCCCGGCTCGAGGCGAAGAGCTCGGGCGTGGAACGGCTGCGGCTCGCGCTCGCTCGCCCCCTCGGCATCGAAGATCTCATCCAGCATGGGGTTCACCTTCTCCCAGTCCTGGGCCTCGCTGCCGCTCGCGAAACCCCGGGCCCTCCGCGTCGGCCTCCTTCAGCGGAGTCAGGCGACGGGCTGGACCCGCTGAGGATGCCCTCTCGAACTTCTCCTGCTTGATGACCTCCCGCTCTCGGGACGCCTGCTCGCTCGAATCGAGGCTTGAGCCGAAAGAGCCCCGCCTTCGGCCCACGCGCAGCGGGTGGCCCTCGGAGCCCCCAGGCCCCAGAGGCGAAGGAGAGGTGGAAAGGAAAAAAGATCGACCTATTTCAACCGCAAGAATGCCCGCTGCCCCCGCGCCCCCCTCACCGCCCCCTCCCCGGGTGCCCTTGGCGACCAGCAAGCGCGCGCTTGGCAGCGACTCTCGAACTTGATATGAGACCTCGACGTCCTGCGCGCTGGAATGAACGAGGCTGATCGATCGGCGCCCTGCCCCATGGCGATACGTCGGCCGCGCCGCCCGCGCGCCGCAGTCGCCAACCTCCAGCGCTTGGCTCTCAAGTCGAGTTTCGCCCCGATGAGCTCCAAGAATCGAGCGGGCAAGAGGGGTGTGCAACACTGCCCCACGATCAAGAACTCCATGAAGCCGCATCCGGCGAGCGACGCTGGCACCCACGCTCGAACAATGGATCGGCACGGCCCCCGATCCCGCTGGCTGTCTGATTCTGAACCTCTCCGAGCTCGAAGTGCACGTGATACCCCGTCTTAGCCAAAGCATCGATCACATTGCCCAGATCTTCTTTGCCAATCAACGCTTGCCCTGCGGCCGTGCCCACCAAAGCGCGGTCCTTTTTGAGCTTCAGCGACAGAAAAGGAGAGCGCCCCCTAGCTTCCAGAATGATGCC